TCATCAATCAATTTCTGCTAAAATCAATTTTGATTACTTATTCGTTTAAACATCGTTCAGGATTCAATGAGCTCAATATTTGGTATGAGAGTTCTCATAAATATTCATTCATCAGCTGCTGTCGAATGCATTTCAAAAAGCAGATTAAGAGGTATCTTTCCGGTAGTCCTTGCCACTGTGCCGCATTCTTATTTGCATTGCGGCCGCTTTTTAATTTCACACATGACTTCAAATCAGAAACAGTTTCCGCTTTTGTGACCGGCTGCAATTAAAATTCATTTAGCTGCAGTCCGCAATACGCATACAAAACTAAAGTAGTGTTAATATGAAACGTCTTTCTTTTCTTTCTCTAAAGTCAATATTTATTCAATTGTTTTGCTATGCAGCTGCGCTGCAGTTTGGCTTTGAGACTGTGCACGTAGTCAGATTAATGGCACGAGCACCACAGATAATAATGCCAAAACAAACAACTACAGCAGCGGCGGCAGCAGCAGCAGCAACAAGACTTTGTATAATTATTACAAATAGCACATAAAATATGTTGCATAAAATGGTATTAACTGCAATTTGGTCAGCATTTTCGTTCATTAGCAACAGCCGCTGCCCAAAATACATAATGCGATAAATTGTCGGGGGTGGTGCAGCGGATGGTGCAGTGAGCGGTGCAGGAAGTGCGGGCAGTGCCTCTGAGACTGCCTGGGGCATTTGGCATTGTTGCCATTACGCATTTTGGCAGCAGTTGCATTTAAGTCTATTTAATTAATAATTGCAAAATAAATCGAGTCAAATGCACCCAAGCACACACACACGCACACCCATGAAGTTGTGTAAATGTTTAGGGTAAGCATAATTTTGAACAAGTAACAAGAGAACGATAAAGGCCTACCCTATAGGTAGGTAGGTTGTTCGTCATTTTTATTCGTAGGTAATTAAAACCCTCTAACATTCTTATAACATCCAAATAACATTATCATAATATTCTCTTAACATTCTCATAACATTTAAATAACAGATTAAAAATACTCTCAACATTTGCGTAGCAGTCTTCTAGCGGTGTATTAATACCTTCTCATAACATTTCCATAAGACTCTTATTAAATTTTCTTTAAAAAATTTAAACATTTCTCGTCACATTCCCTTAATAGTCCCATAAATCCTTATAACAATCTCATTTTTTATACTCCCAGTCGAATTCAATCATTCATCATCAGTCTCATAATATTCCAGTAATATGTCCATCCCCTAAGCATATAATTTTCATAATATTGAATTAACATTCTCAGAACATACGCATTAAGTCCTATAAAAACTAATTTTTTGTAAGTAGAATATCTCTGCCCATTGGAGTACAGAGTGTGCAGTGATTATGTACTGATAACCTCTTCAACTATATAACCCCACACACAACTTGTACAGGGTATACTGACAGTCAACGCCAGTGATTATGTTATTAATTAGTAATGTCATTGCAATGCGCATATTTGCATGGAACAAAGTGATTTACGGCACCGGCAATATGCGAGTACACAGATGGGGATATGGAAATCGAGGTGAGGCCTGCATTAAGGCTGTTTGGCTTCATTTGTCTGTTTGTACTAGCTACATATTTGATTGCAATGCAAGTTACATAATTGCCATTAGGCAAGCTTGTGTTAGGTTAAGATTGACAGCATTAGCAGAGAAAGTGAGAATTATCTTCAAATTATTACATTTATTGGTTCCATAACATACCAACCTCACGACTGAACTTTACTAAGCAAAAACTAAGGACTAATCAGGCAAAGCCGCAAGCAATTATCATATTTTTTTTTAATGCGAAACACGAACTAACAAAATATGCTAAATTACACATAAAAACATAATTTGTTCAGAGAGCAGCAGCAAAAGAAAATGTTGAATTTTTCTTGGCACGCAAAAGCAAAACAAAATTGTGCTGCAAAGTAGTCGTTAGCATTAGAACGTGCGGGGCGAACGCGCCAAATTCTTTCCCTGAGCAATTTAGCTTCTCATTGTTGGATCATAATTATACCGCCACCAAAAGCGCACAGCGGGTATATTGGGCTACACACACTAACCCCTTCAACTAAATATTTCAAGAGCTTGGCACAAAATATTTGTTAAGTCTTCTAAATTCCACATTTTATAGACTTACAAAACTGAAAACGAGGAACGGGTATTCCTCCGTCGTTCTTCGTCTGCGCATTCCTTGTGGCACGCTGCTTTGTGATTATTTTTAAAAAGTATGCATCAAATGCGTTATGAAAATTAATTATACTAACACACACACGTATACAGATACACACACACACACACACAGACAAGTAGCTTGCGTGCCAATAAAAGCCGCAGCCATTTTGAGTTTATTAAAGGATCACTGAACGTTAATGAAGTTTTGTGGCATTAGTAAATATATAGGAAATACGCAAGCTAACAAAAATTTGTTGGGATGTATAAAACTAAAGATTGCTTGAAATTAATATATGTTATAGTTATATATTATAGCAGCTGTATTAAGGTAATTATAAATATGCTAAAAGTATATCTATATTACAGGACTTCTAATGTATCAAAATGTGCTTCGTGTTGAACTTTTATTTTCCTTGCAACTAATACAGACCAATAGAACTAGAGTGGTCCGAATTGTTATCTTTTTCCAAAATGTTGAAGTTTTAGTTTCCGATTCCAATTCAGCAACTCCAACAATATACAGTTACTACAAATATATGGTCACTGAATCCTTCTCACCTGTGCCTTCTGCTGACTGGCAGCTGCCTTTGCCATTCCCCAGTTGTTTTAGCTTCAGTTTTTAAACTGAAGCCTCAGCGCACATTTAAATGTCAATAAATCATAAGAGAACACTTTAGGGAGAGGGCAAAAGAGAGAGAGAAAGAGAGAGGGAGAGAGATAGTGTGAGGGAGGAATCAACTTTTCACTTTAGACGACAAAGTTTTTGGCTTGTATTTTTAGAAATTGATGTGGGTATGTTATTGCTTGGCTCAGAATGGGGTCTTACCATGGATCACAACAAAAAGCAGCATTTTTATTTATGATTGGTAGAGCTTTGGATTGCTTTGGATTATGCCAAAGGAATTAATCAGTGAAATGTATGCAATAAAAACTGCCACACGCAATTAAAAGAAACGCAATGGGTAAATTAGGCCAGACACACATTAAAAAATAATCAAATAATTAAATGTAAGTAGTGCGCGGCATGAGCCCAGTGGAAAAAGAAAGCAAATGTGGCCGGGAGATGCCCGCATAAATATAAATATATATTTCTATACATATAGAAGTACGTGTATGGCCCATTAAAATAGCCCATTTTATGTACAAAAATGATGCTTTGGATAGCCATTAAAATTGCTCATAAGGTAAACACGGCGTTGTTTTATTGTTTATTAACGAATTAATGCACAGGCGCGGGCATAGGAACGGGCACGGGCACGGGTACTTGGATGAGTAATTGATCGATTGTATATAGCCAAAGTGTAATTACGAGCGGATCGAGCAAACCTACTGCCAGCCATAAAAGATAGCTAAACAGAGACCATTGGCAGCGCTCATAATCCATCTTCATCGATAAAACAAACAATTTGCGCACACATCAATCCATCGACAAGTACATTTCATTGATGTGCGTCTATTTTCGTAGAGCGTACTCGAAATTCGAAATTCGGAATATTTGGCAATCAATTAATTGATTTTCAATATGGGAAATAATTTAACGCATTTTCAATTTCTATTTGTATACTTGAGCGTTTCCTCCACGCTCATTGGCTAAGTGGAAAAAAATGGTTTATTTTCTTTCCCATTTTTTTTATTTTTCAATTTTTTCTTCATGTTAATTTCATCATTTTTACGGTACGCCGGCAAAATGAGCATGTCATATGACGGCATCTATCTTTGGCGCTTATTTTTGCTTCATATTCCTCGAGCATGTGCGTGTGTGTGTGTGTGTGTGTGCAGACATGCCGCTGAAATACTAATTATGTGCGCGATTTAAATAGATTTTTCATTTATTTAGCTAGGCCATCATTTTGGATGAAATGGAAATAAGAAGCAAATGTTTTATGTTGCGCCATTGACGCTGCCCACAGCAGCAGCTCCTCGTTGCCCAGTGCAACATAAAGCACTACACACACACACACGCACGCACACACACATACATTGCCAGTGGAAGTGGATGATAGGCGGATTCTGCATTTTGACAGCCCCACATCATTTCAACTTTGCTTGTTTTGAACTGTAGCTGTAGCTGACGTAGCGGAAGTGTTTGCGAGTGGAATATGCGATACATAATTTTTAATTATTTGTTTTACGCACTCTAATAAGGGCAAATGAGGCATAAACATTGCCTAATTATAGCTAACTGACTACAGCTCGAGCTCACTCTGACTGACTCATAAGTAGTCCAATAGTTCTTGAGCGAAGCACATAATAGAGCATATAAATGTGAGCGATAAACCGGAGATTTCACTGGAATCAAAGCAACTTGGCTGGAAACTTTATATTGAACCAGTCTATTGATATAGAACGCCCTTTGCCTTGTTCCTCGATAATTCCATGTAATCTGTACTCTGTCTATAGAACTCCAAAGGCCATTAATATTCAATTTGCTCTGAATAGCTAGTATTCTTTAAGGCTCTTAAAATTCTATAAAAAGAATGTGATAAAGTTTAGATAAATGCTATTGACTGAAGAATAGAATTTCAAATTTCTACTTATGGGTCACATAGTACCTAATTTTTGCAGGTTTTGCTTTTTTTGGGAATTACGTTTTTTAAATGACAGCTAACCTACATAATTAATGTTATACAATACAATAGTTAATAATAATAATAGGTGATATAGAAAACTGATCTAAGTAAAGTTTTGTTACGATTTGCTCATCACTCTGGGCTGGCAGAGAGCTGAGTTTACGCTTCAACTACTAAAAATATAAAATTGTATATTTAAATTCCTAAATTTTAATATATTTTTACCTTTCTGTTTATTTGCAGGTAAAAATTTGGTTTCAAAATCGACGCACAAAGTGGAAAAAACAGGATAATGTCACAAACAACGAGGCTGCCGAGCATAAATCGTCCAGGCCCACCTCAGCCGAGCAACAAACCAAAGGCAACAACAACAACAGCAACACTGGCGCTGCTGATGATGGCGGCTGTCAGCCTACGTCCATCACGGCCAGCAACATGGAGGCTACACCAAAGAAGGCGTCCAATGGCCAAGGGGATAAATCACGCGGCAACAACAGTAGCAACAACGGATCAACACCAACTAAAAGCGGCAGCGGTAATAATGAAAACAAATTGCAAACAAAGCATGCGACGACCAAAATTAAAAAGCAATTGAATGCATTGCTGGAGAAGACCGCAAAAGCCGCAAACAGCCCGGCAGCAGCCAATGGAGCTGGCGTTAATGCCACCGATTCCACACCGATTGCTGGCAATCACAGCAATAGCAACAGCAACAGCAACAGCAGCAGCAACAAAGCAGCTGAAAAACGCAATGCGAACAGCAGCAGCAGCAACAACAACAACAACAATAGTATTGGTGAGGCCTTCCACCACCATCGGCTGCACCAGCACGCCATACCGCTGACGGTGGAGCCGGCGGCACCCTTGGAGCAGACTGAAAAGCTAGAGATCAAATTGGAGGAGTCGCCAGCGTTGAGCTTGCAGCGAGCAGCTGTGGCTGCTGCAGCTGCACAGGAAAACGGACGCAGCTCACCATCCAAGGCATTGCTGGCTGAAATGGACTTCGAGAGCAAGCTAGCTGCCTCAAAGATATCGATTGCCCTGGCCATGGCCAATACGAAGCTGCAGGGCGGCGCCATTCAGGATGCATCGGAGATAAACGAAAGTGAATCGGAGGATGAGGAGACGGCCAGCGAGCCGGGCACATCCACCGAGGCACAAGATTCGCAGGATCACGATGTCCAAATGGGCTAGGCCCAACTGCCCCCGATCCCACAATTCACACCAAGCCAGTCAAATTAACTTGTGCCAAAAAAGTCGAATATTGCTCAAGCACTCGGCCAGCTCTCACCCAAGATTCGTTTCACTTGATGTGTCTGTGTGTGCTTGTTAGTTTTAGGCATTTACACATATTTATGTAATTTATTGAGTGTATGTATGTATGCGTTAGTTTTAAGTATAGGCTTTGTAAATGTTGCCATTAGAAACGCATTTAAATGTTTAATGTGCAGTTTTTAAAATATAAATGCAAAATACTATTATAATTGTAATTTGAACTTTCGAAAATTTCATGTGATAAAGTATACGAATGAGTTAGAAGAGGCAGAGAGAAAGAGAGAAATAGAGAAAGAGGGAGCGCGCGCTTGCGCCTTTGACAGCAAAAACGACAACAACAATTGGTGAATTCATGTTAATTACAAATTTAATTTAACTATACTAACTATTAACTACAAGTGTTTAAGCAGAACCAGTCCTAAGTGTAAATCGCTACTAAATATAGATGGAAAATATATAAAAAAATACCTACATATGTATTGTGAGTGTACAAACAAAACAGAAAAAAATTGAAAAAAAGAAAAACAAATCCGAATCTATGACGGGCGTATCAGCAGCCGTTACACATTTTAAATTCGAAAAATAAAATAAACAATTCAGCAAATTAAGTCAACTTTCTCTTAATGGGCATTGGCCGGGAGGGCTTTGGCACGTTTACCACGCCCTCTGCGGTTATCAAGAACTCGGTAAATGCGTTTGGGGTTTCGGGAGAGTAGACGATTTCTAGCTTTCGCACTGTGAGCAGCTGATCGCCCTGCTTGTACTGCTTGGGCACCTTGGAAATGCGCATCCGTGTCCGGCTGAGATTCGCCCATTGCAAGCCCAAGCAGGGCACATCCTCCATGCGCGCCTCATCCGTCTCTTCGGTGGCAGTCATTTGATTGGAACACACCACGGCACAGTCGTACTTATCCGCATAGCTAAGCAGCGCATGCACCATGCGTCGCATGTCACGGGCACGCTTGTCGAAGTCGGTGTACAAACGGAAGATGGCAGCTACTGAGTCTATAACGATCAGGCCAATGCTGTGCTCCTGCAGTAGCTGTGGAAGGCGATTGCTGACGCAGTCGAGCAGAGGTTCCTACAACGTAAAGAATGCAAAATGAGACTGCTTGGATAGGCTCCAGATATCTTACGCTTTCGTACTGATGCTCAATAAAGATGTTACCCAAAAAGTTCAGATTCTCTTCCGGGTAGCGTGCCTCAAATGCTTTGCTTATTTGCAGCAGACGACGTGACGGAAACGCATCTTCAGTGCAGATGAATGCAACGCCTTTGCCCAAGCCGCCAAGTGTCGAAGGCAGTTGCACACTGAGCGACAGCTGCAAGAGGACCTGGGATTTCCCCACGCCAGAGTTGCCACAGATTTCCGTTATGCCACGAATCGAAACACCTCCGCCCGTGCACTGATCAAGTGCAGCACAGCCAAAGCCCACACGGGACCACTTCAAGCGAGCGGGTATCTTAAAAAGAGAATCCGCTGCGGGCACAATTTACATATTTTAAGAAGGTGAACACAATTGGCCTGTCGTCAGTTACCTGACACGGGCGTCTCAGCCAGCCACTTGGCAGCTGCGTCCTTCAGAATACGCACATCCTCCGGACTGCAGCTGTGAACACAAGTATCCAACTCACAACTGCGGGTGTCCATAAATTTAATGCGCGGCGTTGTCAATATGGCCTCGGGCGTAAGCACGTTGACTAGATGGGATCATTAGTTGGCGCCACTTAACGAATAATTGAATAAGATACCTTACCCCGCTCTGCAATCTCCTGCAGATGCTTGGGCAACTGCTCTAAAAAGTGCGACATCGCTGCAAGCCCGTTGAAGCCGTGTGTTGGCATTTACATCAGGGAACTCGCGTGCGACCCCGACATGTAAGGTGTTTCAACACCTATTAAATTATCGCCTTGGCAGCGAATAATTATTGATTCAACAAATACTTATCCCCACTGAATTAGTGAGTTGCAGCAGCTCCTCACAGGAGCAAGAGATGCAAGATTTCTGTGCTATAACAATTAAATAGCTAAAAATATGCGTGAGCATTTCATTTGAAACAATTAAGAGAAGGGCATCTAAAATAAGCAATACATCAGACACTAATTGTTATATGTTTTACATAATTCCTTCATTTTTAATCATTTAATTTGCACAAACTTCAGATAAACACACAAACACGATCGATAATTCGATAGCTGGGGAGCAACACTGTCCGATCGCCTGTGCCTTATGGAATTTGGATGTTGTTTTTGTTGCAGCACTTGTAGAAGCAATTAATTAACTGTTAATAAGAAACTAAAGATCCATTCTATTGGGAACGAGGTTTCGACAGCTCGGCCAGGGCCCTAGCCTCAGCCTCAGCGCTGCGCTTCTTCTCTTCGGCCAATTTGGCATCACGAACGGCCTTCTGTTGGTTTTCAATTTCGCGCACCTTCTCCTCCTTCTTCGAGAGCCGGCTTTGGTGGGCAGCGCCATAGGCAATACCCACAAGCAACAAGGACCATCTTCCCAGCTTGATGAGTGGCGATACACGAACTGGAGCCTGAGACATAGCTGGTTAGTTATGTAATGTTAAGACCAATAGCTGCAAAGAAAATGGATGTGTCAGTTGTTTGGTTGATACTGAATATAGACTATGCTGTACATAGTGCTTATGAGAAGTAATAAAATAATATAATACTAAAAAGAAATCATATTTACCAATAAATTTCGCGAATGCAATCCACTACAATAGTAGTATAACCTTAAAGCAGCTGTCAGACTGACAAGAACACAATCGATATACAAAATATCGAGATTTCCAGTATTGTAAAATTTCTCACACTTTCTTGGCGAAAAGAACGTATTCAAAATTATACACTGCACAACAAAGTAACGTATACTGTATACAATAATTTTTCACACTTAAAAGCTACTTTGATTTGACGTAGCTGTTATGATCATGTATATTTTTTTTATTTAAAATATTAAACGAAATTTAGGAATGCTTTATTTTTAAATGCTCCCTGATATGAATATTAGGTTTGCCCGTTCCTTTTGGTATTTTTATTTGCGACAGTGACTCGCTACCTGTAATCATTCGTTACATATCACACATCTCTAAGTGTGAATGTCAGAACTAGGCCTGGAAAAAATTTGTTTTGTTAAAAATATGGCGAATTTAACACATAAAAACGTTTGATCTATGTATTTTAGGCCAAAATTATTGCGCAAGTGACACTTAAGTAAAATACAATAAGCTGAAAGTTACCGAGTGTGCGTATCATATAGGCAACTAAGAAAATTCCAGCACAGACCTTGAGTGGGCTCACAAACATATACACACATTCACGCAAGAACCAATACACATACGTAGATAAACGGGTTGAAAACGTCACAGCGACCAGCACGACAGTTCCTGAAGTGCTTGCAGCTGCTGTTAGTCAAATTAGCACAACAACAACGAGTGCGAAATTGGAACAAAGGACACACAAGATGGTGAATGTGCCGCCGCTTTTATGCAGCACTCCACCCCCGATTGACTTTGGTGAGGACGACGACGATTCAGGGTTACAATCAACGCTGCAATTGGACGACGGCGAAGCTGACGAATACTCTGAGTATGGCTTAGTCACCGACACACATGACATTTCGCTCAATGCGAAAGGTAATTGCTTTTTGTAGCTACGACTTTTTATGTTTATTAACAAAGCGCTTCCATCGTTGCAGTGTCCGAGTTGCCAGAATTGCCCATATCAGTAGAATACAGCGCCCAGTCAGAACCACCAGATCTGAGCATTGAACCTGCTAAGCCAGATAAGGTTGTAGTGGAGGCTTTCAATTATCAGGTGAAAGCTTCTGATTCTAAACTAACTGAGGAACAGGAAATATCGATTTCAAAAGAGATTGATATTCTGCCTCCTGTAGCAGAACCAAATGAGCTGCAAGTCGTTTTAGAGCAGCAACTGGAGGTGGACGATGAGGAAGAGGAAGCCAACACCAATGATAATGTGCCTTCCCTCAAACTTGACAGCCTAAGCCTATACTCTAGCGGAAGTGTTACACCTCCAAGCACCTTATCGCCCGTAGCTGATGAGCAAACAACCAAAGCACCCACTGTGTGTCACCAGGTAACACTGGAAGATGTGACTGACGACAGCGACGAGGAGTGTTCTCCAAAGAAGCCCAAAGAACTATTTATACCTGAAGGCGCGCCTGACTTTTTTGCCATAGAGATTGTAGAGACGCCCACGCAGCAAACGCCTTCATTTAATAATCAATTTCCTGATGCTAAGCCTGAACCTGCCTCTGCGGCATCCCAAGAAACAGATGTCAAGCAAATACCGCCGCTGGAGCTTAACAGAAAAATCGACGAGCCCAAGCCTGAGGCACAGACCGAGGACGACGACTTTGGCGATTTTGCGGACTTTTCTGCTGCGCCATCGGCTGTTGAAGATGAGAAGGCGACTAGTCAGGACGATGGGTTTGACGATTTTCAGGACTTCGCCACACCTGCGACCACGTCTGTACCAACGCAGCTGGCTTCTGAAGACGATACTGATGACGATTTTGGCGACTTTGCTGAGCCAACATTTGTGCCTGTTACGGCTGCAGCTGCGCCTGCTCTACCACAACCGCCACCGCCAGCTGCTGCGCATTTGAGCATCAACGAGCGAGTCAAGCCTGTGCTGGAGATTATGTTTCCTAAGTTAGAGTCCAACTGTGCGCAATCTGAAAGCAACCAAATACCGCTGGCTGAGACGCAAACATTACATTTTGGTGCCATTGAACAGGCACACGCTCTAAGCTATCAGTGGTCCAGCTCGGAGATGCGTCATTCCCTTGTGCGATCTCTAGCCATCGATTCGCGGAATATTGTAAGTACATATATCGAACTGTGATTCTGTTTAACTAATACAGATTTTACATGAGCAGCTCTTCGGCGACAAGTGGAATGCATCAATGCCCCGCTTCGCGGCAAACTTAAGCTTTGATCCGCTTAAACCACTCAAGCCATTGACTGCTACGCCCGGGCCGAACTCCTCTCAACAAGCGCCAGTCGCCAGCTGGCGGCCCGCCAATAATAGTTCTATTGAGCAGCCACTTCATGGTAAGTTTCTGGACTCATTACACGCCGTAAAGAACTTAGTTACCGCTAATTAACCGCTACACACGATTCTCGTAACCAAAATTGCCACCGCCTCTCGCTCGTTCTGTCCTGAGACATTTCTGTTGATCCACACGCTTTACGCTTCCAACTGAATAAACAATTGGTCTGCCTTTATTGGCTGCTCTATTCTATTCTCGTTTAAGTTTCCATTCGTTTCTTATTTCCTATTATAAAACGTACTTGCAAATTGTAATCACTTCGGTAGACCGAAGTTGTCATGCCCTTGCAGATGCACAATTGAATAGATTGTTGAAAAAGCTGTTTTTCGAAGAGGAATGTTTTCTGTTAACGTGTAGAAATTAATACTAGTATTAGTATGCCAAATGGCATGTATAGCTGGTCAACGTAGAAATATAGAAAATTATCTATAGACTGATTTATTAACACGTTCATAACACTAAAACCCAATCGAAAAAATGTTTTTTATTTATTATATTTTCCAAATTAAAGTCATTTTGTATGGTTTTCAAAATTTCTTTTCGAGTTCGACATGATATGGGGTAGCAAATGTATATATCTTCTGCAAGGGTATTATATAGCAAAATACCGTTACTTTCACTTGATTCTTGTGCCCACCATTTTTGTACTGAAATTTATCCTTATGATAAATTGTATTTAGAATCACATGTACAGACTTTACAATTGGAACAACAACAACAACTAGACCAAGTAACGATGGTGGCTAATGCTGATAAAATAAATCTTGTTACCTCTAACTACTCCCACAACATCAACAACAACAATACTCACGATGCCTTGGATGCGCAACTGCCATTAATGGAACAACTTAATCAAAATAATGAAAATATGACAATCAACTACAACAACAACAACAATGTTAATGATAATGCTAATGCCAATGCCAATGCCAATTTTGTCACACATTTTGCCACCATCTGCAATAATAACAATCATGCAATAACAACCACGACAACAACAACAACAAACACTAATTGTACTGCTCACTGCGCCTTGCTGGATCTTAGTAAGTTTCGTTGGCTCCGTGCTTCGTGTGGTAGTTGTGTATACTGTTTTATATACTCTTTTTTAAGTCTATGCAACTCCAACTATTTCTCCTCAGTTCTGGTTACCTTTCGCTGCCAAACACTGTCAACCCCTAAACATCCCACAACTGCACTAGTTAATTCAGTAATTTAGTACTCATGTTGTCCATCTGTATTTGACAAAGGCAATTGCTGATGCTCTAATACTAATCTACACATTTCATATGCTTAACAGGACTTGAAGCAGCCGCCGCAGCAGCACCGCCGAGCCAGACTAAAGCGCAGCCTAGCCCGGCTAATGGGCAAGCCTCATGCAATGACGCACACTGCAGCTCCGACGAAGCAACAACCGCTGTGTCCGCCGCCTGTATTGATGACGGCACAGCAGCAGCATCAGTATTTGTTGCTGCAGCAGCAACAGCACCGCTATCGCCTGCTCTATCAACAGACGGCAATGGACACAACTTCGACGACTCTGGGCAGTTCTCTCAGCAGCAGCAGCAGCTTGATCTAAGAGAGTCGCCTTCGCCATCACCATCACCAACGCCACCACCGCCACCGCCATCGGCTGTAAACAGCCAGCAATTGCACGAGGTCACCAGCTGCAACAGCAGCAGCAACAGCAGCAGCAACAACAACAACAATAGCTTTACGCTGCCGCTCAAGGAGACGCATATTTATACGCCTTCGAAATCAGACACTGCGGTGGCCAAGACCACAACACTGGCACCCATTGATTTTGACTACGAGATTGCCTCGGCAGGGATTATTATAGATGAGACGGTTGTCAAAAAGGAATATCGCGATGTGGAGTACAAGCCGCCAACCTGCGGCCTCGACTCGCCTAGCAAGCTAGGCACCACGAGCAAACCAACTGCTGAGGATGATGATTTCAGTGATTTCCAGTCTATGCCAGCTATCAAAAACGTGGCACAGTTGCAACCACCGCGCAATGGCACGCCTACTTTCGGTGAGCAGATGATACTCAGTCCGGCCATACTTCTGCCGCAGTCAATTCCATTGGCCAAGCCTACAATTGAGTGGGGCGACAATGCACTGGCCAGCATCAATGCCGATGAACTGGCACGCATCGAGGAGCTATTTTCGCATCAGTTCAAGCCGCCTACGATAAGTGCCAGCGTTGCGCAACAGTCGCCCAAGCAACAGCAACAAAAGCAGCAGCAGGAAGATGATGAGTGGTCCGATTTTGTGTCCGTGCCTGTGCAACAGCAGCAGCAACAAAACAAAAACAACAACAACGTATCAAATACGCAGAAAGCACGAAGATCTGCACCCATTTCAGCTGCAGCACAGAAGGACGATGACTGGTCAGACTTTGTGAGCAGTGCGCCGATGCCAGCACGCGCTGCGCCCCAATTTAATTCGGGCGCTTGGCAGAGCGCAAATTTTTACAATAATCCGCTGAGCCTATATCAGCAGCAGCAGCAGCCGCATACACATAGCAATCTGGTCCCTAAATATCAAAACAATGGCAGCAGCAGCAACAACAACAACAACAGCAGCAACAACAATAATAATATACCACAACAGATTCACATGATGCACGACTTTTCAACAGCACCGACACCAACAGCCAACGCAGCGTCTGCCACTTATCAGCATCAGCATCATCAACACCATCAGCAGCAGTTGCAACAGCAGCAGCAACATCAACACCAACACCAACACCATCGACAGCAGTTTCATTTGAGCAATGCAAAGGTGGCACCACGCATCTCATTAATACCCGATCTGAGCTTCGTGGCCCCGACATTGCCTGTCAATGCGGGCGCCTTTATGAGTTCGCTGCCCAAGCCCAGTTTTAGTGCCAAGAAATGACAAAAGCTGCGCAGCGCAAAACAGCTGCGGCCACAGCAGCATAAGTCGTCGACAATGTTGTTGACATCGCCGCCGCGTCCAGCTGCAGCCGAGACGACCATCTTGACGTAGGCAGTGCGTCAGCCAGTATTATGAATCCGTCTAGATATTTTGCTACATAAGTTTAAATGATATTTTAAGAGCAACTGCAAGCAACTAGGCTCCTGTTATTGTTAATGTGCGTATTGCTGTTGTTTTTGTCGTTGTGGTCATTGTTGTTGTCGTTGTTCTTGTTGTTGTTAGTCGTAGGTGTATAGTTGTAGTCAAAGCAATGCAAATATGTTCGCGTCGAAAATGAACTGTAGTGCAATATATTTTGTAAAAATTAATTTGATTGTAAATTTTTAAATTCATTTGCAACAGTTGGCCGAAAACTTAAATAACTCAGCAACTAGTTCTAGTTATAGTTTTAGTGCCTATATTATATGTGTTTAGACTGTAAAGTGTTGCAGAAAACGTAGTACGCGATGTTACCTCTACATTTAGCTTAGGTGAGCTTTTAGTTTAGTTAATCCAAAATGCTTTTGAATTGATTCAACTTGCTTTCTTATCGAATAAGTTTCCCAGACTATAAATACTGATCACACAGCATCGATTGTGTCCATTAAATATTCACATATATTTATGAAAGCCCAGCTTAGCAAGTTTAGTATAGCCCAGTTTTGACCCATTACGAGTTGGCTTAAGTTAATGTGTGAATAGAACCGAGTCACTTCCATTTTCAAAAATTGTCCCAGCCATTCCAAAGTGAGATATACTTAAAGAAAAATAACAACAAATACTTAACCCGCCTAAGCGAATATATTTTATAACCCTGTATACTTTTATAGGTGTTTTTGTAATCTTAAAATATAACTTTTCAAATTCGTTATATTTATTTGCAAAACTAGAACGAAAGAAATGCTCGCATTCCATTTGTAGTTATAGTTTGCATTGATCTCTAAAAAGGAAGGAAAGACAAATAATCGAATTGGCTTCAGAAATTTTTTGTTAATGTTTTATTTATTGATTTTCTCTTAATGTTTGTGTGTACTGAATGGGTGTATGTATGTCTGTGAAAGGAAAACAATTATTATATATAAGTTATTAACTAATTTCAAATCGATGCAGTAGACGTAGACTTAACTGTAAATTATGCATTTCTGTGTGAGCTTTGTTTTTATTTTGCTAATTAAATATTAAACAAATACAATTTATTTAAAATGGGTTTGCGGCTTGAATTCAAATCAATGTATTATGTGCTACAAAATTATATAATACAATTAATAGATAATGTATAATGTAATATATATGCGCAGAGTATAATAAAAATATATATAGTAAATGAAAAAAAAAACTGTTTACGTTTATTTGAACCAAGTTTGCGTTACACTTATATAATAAGTTTTGAGGGACGGGGCTGCGGCATATATCATTATATTCGTGTTACTTAGGAGACTTGCTGTGAGACGTGATGGAGTAATTGAAACCTGCTTAAGGAAGCTCTTTGGGAGATGCGTCAGAAGAAATAGCAAACGCACTCTATATTTCTGACACCCTCTCAGTAAGTAGGACTCTGCTATTGGGCGCTTCAGGAAGCCTCGTCAAATGTATGTGTTAATAGATGTGGATGCAATAATTATTTATCTATAAATATCTAGTCAGGATTTTTGTTTCTTTTTTTGGATTGGGATTGGCGAGCGAGGTGCATAGGGTGTATTTAGATAGCACTATGGCAGTAAATAGTACATATTAATTAGCAATATTATATTTCTATATATATATATCTAGTCCTATATAAATAGTGTGTACGTTTTCATTATAAATGTGAATGCAATGTTAATGTTATAATCATCAGCTTCAATCGCTTCAACTTCATCTAAATATTCAACAGTTTCATTATCGATGCCTTAACATAAAGGAAAAACGCTAACAGATCCAAAAATATGTTGAGGATGCTCTCTATCCGTTACGATATTTTGCACTAACAGTTTTTTTATATTTTATCATTGTTTTTTTTTTAAAGAATATCTAGGCTAATGTTATTTATTATGTATATTTAGGTAATGACAGTTGCTGTGTTAATAGCTCAGAATGCCAGCCATGGATGATGGAGCAGCGATTCCTTGGAACGATCGCCATAGTCATAAGTCAGTTCCTCGCCGGACTCAATATCATCCTTGGCCAGCAGCACCAGATGTGGTCGCTGCTTGATAACAACCACCTTAGTCATAAGATTGCCGTTGCGCGAGTGATTGATGAGGCGGCCAAGCTTGCCGGTGTCAATGGTAGCATCGATACAGTACTGCTGATTCTTATGCTTAAAGTAGTACATGTAGCAGCCGGCATTCTCATCGAGTGCATAGCGGCGTTCGCGCTCGGTGGCCTCGCTGATAGAAATGAGATCACCCACATATTCGACGACGAATTCGTTACGCTTGAAGCGACGAATTGCGACAACGCCACGCCCCTTGCCCATAAAATGGCGTATCTGCAGACCATCGCAGCGTTCCTCGAGCACAGCCTGCTCCAGATTACGCATCATTTCCTCTTTGACGGCTGTTTTGGTTTTGCGTACGCTGCGTCGCACCGCAAAGAACTCGGTCATTTCACGGTTACCATTGGTGGCAGCCAAAGGCACTGATTTGGCTGTCATTGTCTTAGCTTTAGCTGGTTTGGTAGATGCCTTTGGCTTGGCTGCTGCTGCTGTGACTGCAGGCGGTTTGAGCATTGCCTTGGTTTTATTCAGATTTTCACGCTCCTCCGCGGCCTTTAGCAAAGAGTGCACATCATCCTCGTCGTCTTCATCATCCACCAAAACTACATCTTCATTAGAAATAGGGTTGTGCGGCTGTTGTTGTTGCTGCTGGTAAGGCGCTTGTGGCTTTGGCTGATTCAGTCTTCGTCGAGACTTCGATGCTCCGTTTACGGCTAGCTGCATTTGCAGTTTGCGCGGCGACTTGCGAGGTGACAGAGTCTCGCCCTTAATCAACGCGGCATCGCGCGGCATTGTCTTGATGGGCGAGGGACACAATATGCGGTGTGGAGTAGCGGGCTTACGCCGCCTATTGCCCGCTACCACAGGCGATGTGCCTGCTGTTAAGCTGCACGCAACTCCACTGTCGCAGGAACTGCTGTCATGTTGGTCTAACTCAAAGCCGCCCAGCGGCTGTTGCAGCTGAAGCTGTTCTTGTTCGTGATCTAGCTCCTCCCCGTGCCCATGCCCATTCAGCGTAACAATTTGATTGAACCGACCGTTGAGCACGCAAGCACTCAGCACAGAAGGCGGCGATGAGAATACCGCATTGGCCAGCTCAAAGCTTTTGTTAATGCGAATGGTGGAGGCCTTGGTGGGTGTGCGATCAATATCCAGCGTCAGCACTGGCTCCTGTAGAAAAATATTATCGGAAGTTGCAGCACTGCTGCTGCTGCTACTATGTGACGAGCTGTGACTGTCACGCAGTGCCGAGCGATGCGTTTGAAAGGCAGCCGTGTTTGTAGATGTGTCTGTTTGTATACGTATATCTGTTTGGGTGTGCGCGTCTGTTCGAATGTGTGCTTCGATGTCTGTAGGCATGTAATTACAGCCCGGGTCGTAACTGTTGTCAACTTCAAGATCATCGTTTTGATATGCTGGAGAACTGGTGCTGGTCGAGGGCGAAGCTATGGAGTCCTCATCATACAGGAGCAGCTCCTCCTCTTCCTCCAGTTCAGCGATTAGGGCGCCATTTAATGTTATTGTCTTTTGCTCTGCTATAGTAGTTTTACCTACACTTGTTTCTGATAGAATGGTACTTTTCTTCTTATTTTTTGCAGCTGCATTTGCTTTAAAAAAGTTTTCAATGGTCCTGGTTTGAGAGCGCGTTGCCAACTGAACACCTATACAGGAAGGGAAGGCGTCTGTAAGTGTGCAAAAGTTAACCTCAAATAACTTACCAATTATACGGTCAGCTTCAGACTTGGTTGAGTTGCCATTAGCTTTGTTGTTGTCAATGCTGTAACTATGTGAATTTTGGGCCGCATTGAGATTTTCATGTGCCTTCATAAGACGGCAGTCTTTTCGCTTCGGACTGGCAAAATATTGATCATCCAGCAGAGTATTGGTGGCCGTCGCAGCAACAACGCTGATTGGTTCGCCATTGAACGGCAGGGCCAGCGTAGAATCACTATTTGCTTCGACCCCGCCAGAGGTAACCACCATTAGGGCGGGCTCTTTGACGGGCCGTGCACGTCTGCGAACCATTATCATTTAAGGCTTAGGTTCAGTTTAGGTTGCCACACAAAATAAAGGGGGTGGGAATTCGTCGAGTTAATAAATTACACTGAGGCAGCAAGTCCGTAGCACACGCACACCAAGATACAGAAACGGAAAACAGACTGCAATTTGCATAAGTAGAAACAAAACGAGACATTAAACTTTTGTACATTATTTGGTCCCCTCTCTGCGGCCTCCTCCATCCACTCACACTTGCATACACAAACACATAAACGCACAACACAACACAACACAGAGAGCGTACAGTTTTTGCCCCTCGACAAAAATATCGTTCTGCTGTGTGTTACTGCTGTTGCTTGTGTCGCACGAAGCGAAGAGGAAGACAGCGAAAGAATGATATGAAGCAGCCTGTTCGTTGCGCCAGTGAGGCTGAGTTAGAGGCCTACCTATTTAGATAGTTGAAAACTTATTTAACCGTCATACGCAGCAGCGCATGTTTTTCGTTTTACACTGTTTTGTGCGCATTGCTATTTAATTTGCCGCCTTCTTGTATTATTTTTAGTCAGTCATATGCACTTTTCCTTTTCCGCAAACTTTTTTTGTGTGTGGTTCTTTTATTCCGTTTTGCAGTAGAGTTGTTGATGACTTATCGATATATATTGCCATCGATATCTGTATAGATCAAACGAGAAGCCTTCACCAGAGGGCTGATTATGATATTTGTTCAATATGAAAGCACTTTCAATTAAACAAATTATTTTTCACAGTTTTAGTTTTACCAATTAGATTAACGTAATTTCTAGCAATCTGAATTAAATCGTTTTATATTTGAAGCTACCGTTTTCCAACACTCACTGAAAATCGCGCGCAAACTATCAGTAGACAATGGAGTCGACGCTTTTGCTTGTTTACATACTATTTATCGATAGTAAAAGTCCGAAGAGGCATTAGCATCTCAAACGCCAAGCGAAATTCGCAAGGCGCGCGTGAAAATTATATGTTTAAGGAAAATAACTAAAATTATAGTCTAAACGCTTACACATGCGAGTGCAAACATCAGCAAGAGTGGCACACTGCAGTTATTAATTGAATTCCTATAGTAACGCGTAGTATAATAACGGTTGTATTTGCCTGCTTGCAATAAAATTGGGCGCCTTTTATTGGCAAGTGTCTGTGCTTCTCCACTCAGACTGTGGCTTATTCTGTACTACTTCGCGCGCGCTCATCAAGTTTGGCACACTATTAGATAAAAAGTTAAAAAAATAAACGAGCTCTGAAACAAATAAGCAATTATGCCGATTTGCAAACGCGACGGATTCGATCTCAATCAAACAGAGGGAAAAAATGAAACATTCCACGACAACGACTTGGTTTTCTGCTGTTATATTACCAAACGCATATTCCGTGATTACGAGTAAGTCGAATGCACCAGCTTGAATTTGTTTTTGCCTTTTATCAAATACTGTATGCTGCATCAGGATAGCAATGACAAAGCAAACCAAGTGCTAAAGTATACAACAAAGCATAGCTGATGAACGCATGCTTTGACCAAGCGATACATGCAAAGGCAAAAAGAGTCTGTCCGTCGAAAAGGTGGTAGTCGGGGCAGTCAGTGGAAAGCGCGCGAATTACATACCCAGCTGCTATGCACAGCGTTGCCACCTTTCAAGTATTTAATTTTTCAAATACGAACTGAAAATAATTATTTAATATTATAATAATAATAATTAATATTAATATTATACAATGTTTGTATAACACTGTAAACGAAATTTCAAATTATAGAAATGATTGGACATGAAAAATTGCAGTTTAAAAAAAAAAAAATAAACAATTTTAATTAGATAAGTTGGTAAAGATAATGTTGCGTCTGCTATATATTGAAATACCCATTTTGGATAGATATAATGTAGTTTATAAGCTGAAATTTATTAAAATAATGCCATTAATAACTCACGACTTTAATATAATATTGATGCACATTTTCAGAATTTATTTCCGACATGTTATGGCCATAAACTCGACGGTATGGCAGTGCGAAGCCACTGGCAAGGATGGCCTTACCTACGAGGAGGCGGTCAAGAGCGAACGCATTGCACGCAAAAAGATGGAACAGTTCAAACAGAGCTTGCGTGCTCCTGTGCTTCTGGTCATCGAACATGCTCGCCAATCGGCTGTCAAAACTCTCAATATGATGGTGTCCAAGTTTCTGCGTAAACGCTTTTTCCTCAATGAAGAGGTGACCGTGGTCACCAAGAGGAACACTGTTTACAAAGTGGTGGGCATTATGCCAGGCGAGAAGGTGTCGGAGCCGGGGAATGGTATATACGAGGACACCGAGCAACTAGAATATCGGTTGCGTGCGCCCAATGGAGATGAGATATGCGCACCCTTTGATCAGTTGCGCCGTCAGCGCACCGAGTTCAATCAAGAAAATTTAGCCATGTTCATCAAAAACAACGTAATCCGCGTGGATGGAATATTGCGTCCCAAACCTGACACCTACAAACAATATGTCACTGAACCGAATGCCAGCTTTTCCAAAATATTTATTGGCAAAATGCCGCGCTATTCGCCGGCGAAAATCAAACGACCCGAGGCTAAGGATACCAAAAAACAATCAACGTTGAACAAGTACATTGTTAAGGGAGAGGAATCGACAGTTAAGAGCAAAGTGAACGCAGAAGCCAGGGCGAAATTGCTGGCCGACGAGATGGAACGCGTCCGTCTCGAGAAGATAGCCAAATGTGCGGAGATGGAGCAACAGAAGGCGCAGAAAAAGGCCGAGTTGATGCTGCGTGTTGAGCAAGAATTTCACGATCTCACTGCCAAGACAGATGACCTGGAGCGCAGCGATCACTCCGTATTGCCCACGTATCATCCCATCGTTACATTTTTGCCAGATCCGCTTCTGGGCGATGTCTTTATGCTGCGTGAATTTATGCACACCTATCGCGGACTGCTTTCTGGCGTAGAGGTTTTCCGGCAGAATCTCAGTTTCTACGAGATGTCTCGCGCCTTTAGCGCGCGCGAGGTGGCAGGTCCACTCTCAGATATACTGCTAGTGCTACTGGGCACCATATTTGATTTGCAAAAGGAGGAGGAGGAGGAGTGCCCGGTGCGGTACTCTGTTGGGCGCAAACCGTTCTCGGGAGAACCCTACAATAGCATGTATGATGCCTCTCGCACACATCATTATTGTAAGCGACACTTCTCCTTCAATCTAAGCGAGCTGCCGCTGGACGCGCTCACACTGAGCGAGGTTCTGCGCCTGCACTTGTTGTCCTCCGGTGCAGCTGTTCAGGATAAGCCCGAAAAGTGGCGAGTTATGTACCGTAATGGGTATTCATCGATCGAGGATCCTGGTCTGCAACTGCGCCTGCAACACACTCACATTCTGCGCGCCCTCAAAACCCAATCTGTTGCTCAGCTCGATTTCGCGGATATATTGCGTGTAATAAACTGCCTAATGGCGCAGATCTTGACCTACTCGGGCACCATTAACGTCATTGAGGAACGCATGGAGCGGACGACCAAGGCGAAAAGTGAATTGCGCGCCCTGAGCATAATAGAGAACAAGCGTCTGGCTGCCCTGGAGATGGCCAAACGCAAGCTAACCAATGAGCACCATCAGCAGTGCCTGTCGGATGACATTAAGCAGGATGCAGAGAAGAAGCAGGCGCTGGGTGAACAGCTAAATCGACGCATAGCAGACTTGGTGGCCCAGTCAGATCGAGAGCAGCGTAAGCATGACCAACAGGTGCTCAAACTGCATTCGGAGCTATTTAATTTTCTGGTCTATTTGGGCATGGATCGATGCTATCGCAAGTACTATGTATTGGAGTCCATGCCGGGCATTTTTATAGAGCACATGCCTGACACCATGATGGATACTTGCTTAGCCCAACCGCCGGTCAACAAGTCGCCCGCCGAGCTGCGCAAGCAGGCGCAGCTGCCAAAGGTCCGCAAAGACTTGCGCATCTATCTGGTAAAGCTATACAGCGATGATGATAAGAAGAAACGCAAACCAAGTAGCAAGCAATCACTGGAAAACAAAGAGAACCAGGAGAATCGGCTTAATGGGCATGGACAAGGACCATCGACGGAGAACATGGAAGTGGGGGGTGGAGAAGATGAGGTACAGTCACAGCCCACGCAATTCGAACTGCTCATGTGTAGTGGCGATAGCACCAACTGCATTGTCCATAGCGAGCAGCATGCACAGCGAAAGGTCTGGTCGTATATATATCAGCCGCAAGAGATTGATGCATTGATCAGGTCCCTGAATCCTCTTGGTTTGCGGGAGTCGGAACTGCTCGATGAACTCACCCAGATGCGCGCGCTAATCGAACAGCACGTGAAGAACTGTCCGCAGGACATGCTAAGCTTAGACAGTGACAAGAAACGTAGCAAGTTTATCAGTGCAATGCAGGCGGAGACACAGCGAAAGTATAGCCTGGCGAATTTCGGACTGCCCGAGGGCACAGAGCTTAACGAGGTCTTGCGCCTGCATCTTGTGGATTGTATACTCCAATTTGAGTCGGACATTTACACCGGTGACTTGGGTAAACTGAAAGTCAAGGACATGGAGAAGTGGCGCCAGCAATTGCTGCAGGACAACTTCGATGCCCAGACTAAGCTACAGTGGGGACCTGGTCAAATTTATAGTGATACGGTTGAGGTCGACTCGGACAATGAATCGCACGAAGATTACGATGATCACGACGATGAGAATAAGGATGCATACAGTCAATATACAAAGAAGAGATATGGCAAGTTCGTTGATCCGGGGCAATACATCGAAAACGAAGACTCATCCTCTACAGAACCCGAGATGCAGCAAACTCAGGTTCGCAATCTGGCCAGTGCCCTGCTACAAGTGGAACAAGCGATTGGGCGTCGTTTTCTGAAGGAGCCATTCGGCATCACCAAGAAACGCCAGGACTCTAAGCTGGAACAGCAAAAGTTCATTTGCGAGCTCAAGTTGCATCAATGGGAAATATCGCTGATGGAGAGCACCAGCTATGCACAGGTCTTTTTACATCTAAGCATTCTTCATGATTCCATACTGTGGAACCATTCCACAAACAAGTCGCTCTGCAAGGTGTGCCGGCGCCGAACCGATCCAGATAAAATGTTGCTCTGTGACCAGTGCAACGGCGGCACTCACATGTTCTGCATGAAGCCAAAGATGCGCACGGTGCCGGAAGGCAACTGGTATTGCCACACTTGTGTTAAGAATCTGGGCTTGACGAATGCCAGTGATGACAAACAGCAGGAACAAAATAAACGCGCTGCTAAAAAGAAGCGCAAATTCATTGTGGATGAAGTGGACGACGATGTCGATGAAGGCGTTGCTGATAATGATGAAAACGATGTCAACGAGGACGATGATGACGGCGATAACTTTGAAGAAGCTGAGCTCAGCGACGATCCTGACGACAAAAGCGTTTCCTCTTCAACATCCGTTAAGGCTAAAGGCAAGGCGCCTGTGCGCTCCAGTGGACGTCGCAGTAGCAAGCGATTAAAATCGAAAGAAATAGAAGACGCAATCGAGGAAGATGACGATGAGGCTGATAACGAATCGTCAGTGGAAGCGGATGAAAATGAAACAGAGGATGAAAACGAAGAAGAAGAAACGTATGTTCTAGCATAGACGAGATAATGTGAATACATTTAATTAATCAGTTTTTCTATCCTTAGCGAGGAGGAGAAGGTTTGCCAGATCTGCTTCTACGACGGCTGCGAAGTTTGCTGTTCCCGCTGTTCTGAGTGGTATCATCTGGAGTGCGTCAAACTAAAGCGTCAGCCTCGGACGGACTTCGTATGCAAAAAGTGCAAAGGAAATGAAAATTCACGTACGCGACGCCGTCTCAGTCATGGTACTGTCTCCACATACTAAGTTGCCAGTTATATCGATATTTATTAACTTATTTCTTATCCATAGCTGATGGCGATGCCGACGATGATGAAGACCACGAGGAGCCGCAAGCAAAACGTTCCCGATCCTCACGCAACTCGCTAAGAATATCGCTAGACAAGTCTGCATCTAACAATAATAATAACAACAACAATACCAGTACCAACAATAACAATCGTCGGTCAGGCCGACGGGCCAATGACAATCTGCCACTAAATAGCGCCGCCTTATACGATCTGTTGGAGCAGACGATGAAGCATCAGGCGGCGTGGCCTTTCCTTCGACCAGTACTGCCCTCCGAAGTACCAGACTACCATAAGATAATTAAGGCTCCCATGGATCTGGCAAAAATCAAGTCCAAACTAAATATGGGCGAATATCAATTAAACGAGGAATTGCTCAACGATATTCAGTTGGTGTTCAAAAACTGCGACCGCTATAATGTTGAGGGCAATGAGATTTACAAGTGAGTAGCCGCACATTCTACATATTTACATATATATATTATGTATAATCCCTGTTTATTTTACTCTTTAGTGCTGGCTGCAAATTGGAGCGTTTTGTTATAACTCGTTGCAAGGATCTCTTACTGCCGTTCAGGCCCAGTGACATGAATGCTGACGGCATATGTTAAGCTGATTGCTAGGACCCTAAAGGGTCTAACGTGTAAATGAATTCATTAGATATAGACTACAGTAGTAACGATCAAGCCAGCGTACATTAGACAGTATTGTTTAGCTTACCATTAATCAGTTTAAGAGTTAAAAGATAATCAGCAGCCGCATTATAAAGCACGCAGTTTACAGTCTGTAAGTGTATTTAATGTTTCTTACTTACGTGATTTGCTTCTGTCTGCATTTCAGCATAATCGTTCGAATTACAAATTATATATAACATTTAATTACTTTTTAGAATTTATTATTACTTTTACGCATAAATTATTGTAGACAAACACACAGAGTTCACAGATTTTAGCATTCAATAAAATGAAAACCGGATACTTGCAAACTTTGAAAACTTTTCTTATTCTCAGCTGGCTACTACTATATGTTTGAAGTGAATCGTCTCTTACAATATAAACATATATATTATTCATGTATATAGGTTTGATGCGTCTCCATATCTTTGAGTGATTATTATAATCTATTTTAAAACATTTACACATATATATATATTGCATGTCGATCGATTTATTTATTAGATCGGTTGGCATTCATAGCAAATTCTCATTTCACTTTTACTCATGTATTATTTTGATCAATTTTGTTTAAGACATTCATAATATGTTTTCAATCACATTTAACATTCAAATTTCATTTGCAAGTTTTGAACAAAAAAACAGTTATTTGCTATTTTATACGCTTCTTTGCACTTACATCTAATGAATACATGAAAAATTATGCTCAGAATCTGGTCATAGTTTTATTACTTTTCATTGTTGCATTTGTTATGCTTCAGAGATCAAGAAATTAAAAGAACTAGAGTTTCCAATGTGAATAGTAAAAACTTCAAAATTTTCAAACAAACACAAATGATGTTCATTAAATGAATAATAAAACAATTTCTATAGATACAACCAAAGTGCAATGCTATCTGAATGAGATGAGTTTGGATTATTTGTTTATCAGAATTATTCGGAGCATGGCCAACTCAGTATGCCCAATAAGATACGCTCTAAAATATTTAATAACACAATCGTAGCCATAGTGTGTGATTTGGTTCAGCCCAATGTTCAAAGTTCAACTTTCTACTTGTAGAGCTTAAGATCTAGTCAATTGTATTTGAAAACTTTATAGCAATCAATTTTCGATAAACATTCTCCTTCTGCTTACCGGCTTTAAATAGTCTATGGAAACCTCTGCAGAGCTTCCTGGATGTGTTTAAATATTCGTCTGGTTTGAAGAGGAATTGGAGGATGTGGTAGTCTCTGAGTAGCAAGTTGCAGTCAGGATGCCGTTCCTCTTTTTGTTGTGGCTAGTCGCAGCCGGTGGACTATTGTTGTTGGCTTCGTTTGGTTCCAGACCAAATTGAAGCGAATTTGAGGTGCTCGGCGCCTGTGACAATTGTGCTTCCATTGACGTGTTGGATGTATCATCACTGCTGCTGTTGCTGTTGTTATCCTCGACTATGTTCTCTTGATTAACCTCAGGCTCATTATCATCATTATCATCGTCATCATCATCATCATCGTCATCTAGCCACTCTGTATCATAGGAGAGGGCGTTATCATTCTCCTGCCTGCCACGGCGCGGACGTCGTACTTTGCGTCTTCGCTTGATGGCAGCGAATCGGAGCCGCATTAGCTTGCGCTTTCGCTCCATCTGCTCGAAATTGGCCTGCAGGGAGCCAACTGTGGGGAGAAGCAAAAACATTTTTAGTTACAAACGTTGCCTGCAACTATTTGGCTAAGTCATGCAAAAGAAGTGTACATAAATCTTGAGCTTGACTCTGGGCAAATAAAGCCTTGACTTGACACTTGCCAATAATTGGGGGTTTCGCTGCGTGGGTGTGGCTAAGGCTCCATTGTTAGCCAGCGAGCATAGCCAGCTGTCAAGTCACTGACAGTTGGCAAACAAATAGCAGCCACCCCAGGTGTCAACGAGTCATTGTTTGCCCACAAAGCTATTGTCAGGTGAACAGGTCAATCGGTGCCACTGGTCAAACAGTTCAGTCGCGTTCACAATGCCTTTGAACGCTGATTTAATTATGTTTATGCTCGTGGCACCAGCGTTACTATCTGTTGGCCAGGACAATGGGGACCTAGAGAGCTATGCAAAAATCTTTAAGACCGTGCTCAGCCAGCAGGACTGCACCCTGGATTTGCACTTGCGTAGCATGCGTGATGCGGACCACAATCTCGTGCAGTTCCTGCTGACTCAGCAGAGCAGTGCAGTGCGAGTGCATATGGGGCAGGCTGTGACCGTAGCTGCATTGGATGCGTCAGATGATGCACTTCATCACTTCTATATCTTTGAGCATGTGCACCGAATGCAGCAGCAGCTCAAAATGTTTACCAACCCGGGCGGCTTCTATATACTGGCAATTGAGGCTTTTGCCGGAGAGGAGCAGAAGAGTTTGCAGCATTTTATGGAGGTAGTCTGGCGGCAACTTGGTCACAATCGGATATACTATGTTCAGCTGGCAGGCGAACGGGTTCTGCTTTACAATCCTTTTACGGAAAGCGTGGTTCCTGCTGAGGACGAACACAGTTTTGAGCGCATTTACTCGAATCTCTATGGCTATCCATTGCGCGCATACATCTTTGATTCCGTGTACTCCGCGCTTTTCGGAGATGGGGACACCGAACGTGTTACCCGTGTGACAGGGCCAGATGCCATCGCCGCCGACACAGTGGCCAAGCATCTCAACTTTACGCTCAACTATATTTGGCCAGATGACGAGTTCTTTGGGTGAGCATTGGCTGATTGCAGCATTGGCTGTTGTAATCCTGTAATCCATGTGCATCTCTCCAGTGGTCGACAGCCGAACGGTTCATATACAGGCGGCGTAGGCCGTGCGCATCGCTATGAGCTGGACGTCATCTTTGCTGGCTTCTTCATAAAGGATTATCTGACGGCGCGTATCCAGTTCAGCGCCGCCGTCTACATGGATGATTTGTGCCTCTTTGTGCAGAAGGCAAAGCGCATTCCACAGTCCATTGTGCCACTTTTTGCCGTGCGCGTGGATGTCTGGCTTTGTTTCTTGCTCGTCGGCTTTGCTTGCGCCTTCGTTTGGCTCTGTTTGCGTGGCTTGAATCTGACGCTGGACATCCAGTGCCTGCCCGAGCACAAACACAATGCTGCAGATGAGCGGTGCATCAGCATTGGCTGGCGCATCTTTATCGACACCTGGATTGTGTGGGTGCGGGTAAATGTAGGGAAGTTTCCGCCTTATAATTCAGAACGCATCTTCTTGGCCTCGCTATGCCTGGTGAGCGTGATTTTTGGAGCACTGCTGGAATCCAGTCTTGCCACAGCATACATACGTCCCCTCTACTATCGGGATACCAATACGCTGGCTGAGCTAGATGACTCGAATATGCCCATTTATATAAAGCATCCGGCATTTAGGGATGATCTGTTTTATGGCCACGACTCACAGGTTTATCGACAACTGAACTCCAAGATGAAGCTGGTGGGAGAGGGTGAGGACCGCCTGATCAGTATGGTCTCTAAGCTTGGCGGATTCGCCGGTGTGACACGCGCCGCCAGTCTCGAGCTAAGCGACAGACGCTACATTATGACTCACAAGGTGCACAAGATACCCGAATGCCCCAAGACCTATCACATTGGCTATGTGCTGCCGAACCCGTCGCCCTACATAAATGGCATCAATAACGTGCTGCTGCACATTTTGGCTGGGGGACTCTTACAACACTGGATAAGCGAGATGAAGGAGCGAGCCCAATGGAGTATTCACCGGTATCCGGAATACTTGGCCGAGCTGGGCGTGCAAAATTGGAAAGTGTTGACCTTAACGGACGTACAACTAGCCTTCTATGCCTTAACGATCGGCTGCATTCTGGCTGCATTCGTTTGGTGTTTCGAGTTCCTTTATAAATAAAGAAACGTGTTTTGATCTACTCACTCATTCGAAGCTCGGGCGGCTTGCGGGGACTACGGCTGGTTGCCAGCGATATGGACTCCCGACGCAGGCGCTCCCGAGAAGCCGCCTCTGCCGATGTGGTGGGTAACTCGTCATCGCCGAACAATCGATGTGTTTCTTCCAGCCATTCACTGATGCGAGCTTGAGTGGCCACTTGCCGTTGCTCGCCCAGCAGACGAGCCAGCAGCTGCTCCACATTTCGATGTTGACCCCCGGTGCCCTTGACCGCCAGCTGCAGCAGGGCTCTCCGTTTTTTAGCTATCAAGTAGAAGATGCGATTCGGATGTGTCTGCCAGCTGAGTTCGCTGACATTGGGTGTGTCCCCATCACTCTGTTCGTCCGACTGTGTGCTGCTCCCAGTGTGACCCGAAGACGAGTGCGAGCTGCTGTCGCTGCCAGTGGTGGTCTGTTGGCCCATAGCGTTCGCACTGCTGCTGTTGCTGGTCCAGGTCTCGAGCTCACGTTGCACCAGCGTATCGAAAAATGCCAGCATCACCTGGTCCTCTTCCATGTTGCGCATGCTAAAGTCTTGAGACACATGATCGGTGGCGTTCCGATGGAGCGGGCGCGTACAATGGGGCGTTTCCGATGGCTCCGTCAATGCCCCCTCCCAGCCCTGTTGGGCAAACGGACTCCAAAACTATAAGAAAATGAAAACTTTATATCTAACCGTATGCAAAGCTTCACGGGTTCTCCTCCTCCTACCTTGATAATCTTTTCCACACCCGACGAGGCCAGCAGGCAGCGTTGGCGATTATAACGCACCTGGTTAACTATGGATCGATGACCAGTCAGGATAACAGGTGTTGTATCAATCCACTGATTCTTCTTTTCCACTAAATGGAAAATGGTTAATTTCACTGCTCCACAATGCTCATCGGTCACTTACAGTTGATTCCGTCCAATCGCCACATGAACATATTAAAGTTATCCGATCCGGAGACCACCAGCTCGTCTTGGGGGCCGGCAAAGGTGCAGCTCTTCATGGTGCAGGAATTGAAGTATTCATCGTGGTAAAACGAGCACAACGGCTCGGATGAGCTTGGATTGTATAAGATAGGTGGCAAGCGACGATGCAGAGTGAGCAAGAGACTGCCGTTGCAGTTAAAGCGCACGCTCATGCAGCTTGGAGATTCACTTATGTAATTGTACTGGCGAAATGGCCTGGTAGAGTAAAGAAGCAGCATTGTACTTAATTTTAGGGCTGAGTCAAATCAACTCACTGTGTATTGTTCCGCATGTCCCAGAGCTGTGCGCCCCGTCGGGCGTTGGCTGTGGCTAAATAGTTTCCATTTAGTGGATGAAACTCCACAGCGTTGAACGGAGTCCGAAAGTTGGCCACGATAAATGGTTCAGTTTTGCCCACACGCATATCATAGACCAGGATCTCGCCATGCTCCGTGGCCACGCTAAAGAGATTTGTGCTGGTGCGGTCCACGCTGAGGCCATAGACGGGTCCGTCGTGCGAAAAGTAATTCAGGTTCTTGCCGCTACGTTGACGAGCAAAAGAGACAATCAAGGACACAGCTGAAAAACGCATCAAAGCCACTTACGTGTACAGGTCATGTTGTATGACCAGGTCATCATTGCCGCCGGAAAAGATATATTTGTTGAGTGTATCGAAACCCAGGCAAAATATGTTGCTGGCGTGCTCCCCATACATGGCGTCAGGGCTGTCTTCGCTGATATTGCCAAGGGCTTGGTCAACATTCCACAGCAGCACGCGCTTATCGTCGCCACCTGCTCGAAGATAAGACTGTGATTAGCAGTTCCTAGGTGGTGAAGCAACAGGTAGCTACTCACCCGATGCCAGGTATTCACCGCCAGGGCTAAACTCCAGGGCATTGACGCAGCCATAGTGTGCAGACAGATTGCGCTGGTATAGATTCTCAGCGGCATGCAGGCGCTGTCTGAAGATGCCTGCCTCCAGATTACTTCGCAGATGATCCAGCTCGCGAAATCTAAGCGCGTGATCCAAATTCAGGCTGGCAGCCGTACCCTGTCGCACGAAGTTCATACTGCAGCTGTTTATCAGATTTCCCAACTTAATCTCGTTTAGGTTTTTCTGCTCCAATCCCCGCTGTGCGCCCAATGCACTTCCACACCCTGTCGTTCTGGTAGCAACCGTTCGGGTTTACATTCGCTGTCGTTGCAACAGTGTTGTATACATTTTGTCGACGCCGACGTCGCTGCTGACGTCGTCGTCGCCTTTAGATTTTCTGCGTTGGCGTTGAAAGTTTTTCAGCAAAATATGCTAACTCCAATGCAAATCTTGATGTAGACAATCTGCAAACGAAATTCCAGTCGTTGTGCTTATTCGTTTGTTTGTCCTCTGGCTGCCAGCAATTTTCCTCTTTTTTTACATCAAATGGCTTTTCGATTGACTTTTTCGACGCTCAACTCCCGCAACGATTTTCTCACGACGACTGCGACTGCGACTCTCGACTGGTTTAATCATCGGAATATGCTTTAATCAAAATGAAAACAGAAAGCATACGAGAGGCCTCGAAACAGCTGTTCACCGAGCTGAATGTGTATTAGAGATGGGCGCGTGCCAAGAAAGCGCACGAAGCGCAACTGATTCAAAATTTCAAATTAACTGAATTTCAAAGCATTCTCAAGTCAACTAATGCCAGCAAATGCATAATTATAACTAACATAAACATTAAGCTGCCATCCAATTAGTTGAATTCAGACTACAACTAAACTTAACAGACTTGACAGCTGAATTATGCTGCTATGTTTCAAAACAATTTGAATGCCTTCTAAGCATAATTACTTAGCCAATATATATATTTATATATGATGATATATATGTATATATATGTATTAGTGTAACTAAATACAACCACATATATCCATTCTGACTTTTCGATTGATTAGCTTAGCGACTCATTTAAACAAGTTAAATGCTTGCTTCTTTCTATATTTTAAAATATAGAAATCTTGGGTGCTATGATTTTTGAAAAAATTACAGAAATCCCCACAGCTTCTTATTGTAGACAATGTAAATTTTCAGTAATTATTTTGCCGAATGAAATTCCTTGTATTAAGAACAGAAAAACAAACACTAATGGAAACCAACGAAAACAATAAAGAACTAATTGGTATGGAGTTATATAACTATACAAATGATATAAAAAAACATTAAACCTTATCTCGATCTTACAAGCTTTACCGCTTGATATTGATATAGAGAATACGCAGCTTATTTGCATTTACCTGCGAGGTCTGCGGGCACGACTTAAGAAAACTATACAGCAGCACACTGACTTGATTCAGTCGTCGGTAAATTTAGTCAAGGAGATAACTGATGTATCCACAACGTTCGCATTGTCGCAGACAGAGCCTGAGCAGCCGCCTACTAATATCAAACGTCTGATTATGGAGTTTGAGAACATGAACACAGCAGACAGTGACTTGACCTCACCCGAAGCGGTCGAACTGCGTGATCTGCTAGCAGAATTCCGTCGTCTACACGAGAGCCAATTGCTGCGCGACAGTCTGATGTGCTATAATCGTGCCAAGGAATCGTTTGAAAAGGTGGACTCCATGCTGGGCCAGGGTGCTCTAGGTTGCGCGGACCAAGCCTCGCCTGCGGGCAGCCAGGCGGTCGTGCGCAGTAACAGCCGCAGTCTTCGGGAGAAGATAGTGGCCTTCAACAAGGCCTCGGTGATTGGAGAGAATATGCTTCAGAATTTTACACATTGCTTTAGCGACTTGAAAAGTTCGAATCTTGCATCTACGGACGAAATGAAGGCAAGTTCGATTGCGTCGCGTACCCAATCAAATTCCCGATATGAGGGCGACGTGGACAGCGATATAGATCACATTGCTGATGAACAAGATAGCAAAAATGAGTAATGTTTAAAATAATTGTCTAAATTTGTAATTGCATAAGCGTACATCATATCAAAAACTAAGTTCTGAATTACATTGTATATGTTCCAAATCCGCTAGACTTGTGACAAGGCTCCCGTAAAAATATAAATGTTTCCATGTAAAATATGGGTAATCTTATTTACAATAAAATCATCTAGATGAGTTCATCAGCAACCCGACTGAGCGGCCTGAAAGAAGTGCGTGTAGTTGATGGCGAAGAATATGGAGAGGGCACCAATGGCCGAGCCCAGTTGAGTGATGGCGCCCACCCAAACCAACGATTGGCCGCCCTGGCCACGCATTACAGTTGTGATGCCCAGCTTGGTGTAGCTGACCACGCCGATTAACAACGTCCATGCGGTGACCTGCAAAGGCGAGATAAGGCGGATAGGAACTGGGTAAATTCCATGAAACTTAGGTGCTATAAACATACCACCAACACTATGCCAATAGTCTCGTCGTAAAGAGGCGGATATGGACTAAGTATCGCGGTGGTAAATACGTAGCTGGTGAGTAGCGCAGCCAGTGCCGACAGCACATAGATGATGCGCAGAGATGTAACATACAGGAACATGGCCAGAAAGCAGGCCACCGGGTTGGCAATGGCACTCAGCGTCTCCGACAGGTGATAGGCGCGTGTTCCATAAGGTGCACTCGAATATGACTTTATGCTAGGGAATATTCCATTGCTGAACAGAGAAATGGTGCCTATGAGCAACAGCAAGCCACCGTACTGGCAAGAGCTAAGCTTTTGTACCTGCGGCTGGTTATCGTCCTGGCCATACTCATATTTGTTGCCTTTGCTCACGGTCACCTGGGCATACTCGCGCCTCGCCAGTGGCAGATGATTAAGCAACGTGTAGCCGATGTAACTGAGCACCATCAAGGCGAATAATATCAAAAAGAATACCTTAGTGTCGAACAAGGGCGGATCTGATACTTTCTGATAGATCTCCTCGCCCGACTCGGTCTCATTGACCAGCACGCAGCTGCCACTGCCTCCAATGCCCTGCACTAGAGCCGTAACACTGGGCAGCAGACCGCTGAGGCCCTCGCCAATGAAATAGGTGATTATGTATTGCTCCTTGAAGCGGCCCATATAGGGCATAAAGAGCACTGAGCTGGTGCACGCGTTGAGTGCCGTAAAGATGGTCAGTATGAAGAGCGCTACGCTGTGATCATTGCCTGCCAGCTTCGCCGTTCGGTTGTAGAAAAAAGCGGTGAAGAGGCAGGACATTGTGCCGATCATCAGGACTGCGTGTATGGTCCAGCCATCATTCAGTTTCCTTGGTGAGAACTTTTGATACACCGTGTACAGGAGCGGTCCGAGATTGCCTATCTGCACCATAACGCTCAGATAGGATGGCAGACTCCAGCCCTCGGGTGCTTCATTAACCAGCAGCGGCAGCTGAATAAAGGTGCCGTTAACGCCCAGCCAGGTACCGATGCCGAAACATATGGCAAGCAGATCGACAATCACATTGCGATTCTTAAAATAGCCACCGCTCTTGGGCTCCATCTTCTTAATAATGAAGCGCCAATTGAAGAACGCGCTTAGCTCACTAGGCTCGTCTGTGGCGCATCTGTGAATGGTGTGTAAATTATTAAGATAAGACGCCGTTACAACATTGTGCTCTATAGTTCTGATGTGCTTAGAATTTGGCCTAAGTCTACGGGAATGAGGCCAGCGGGTCACTGGACTCCGAATTGTGAAATTCGGGACGGAAAGCGTATAAAGATAAACAACTTGGGAATTTAATAAAAAAAGTATTTACAATTAAGTACATGGATTATATAACTGTTAAAATAATGTATGAGTCTCAAGCTGCAAAATATGGTTTTTGTTTATGTAAGACATTTCAGATTAAGTGTATTTCAGATTCGTTGTGAAAGCGTATTTACACTTTCACATGCTTGTTAAACTTAAAGATAGTGAAAACTTATGGCTCTGCGGTTCGTTGGTAGAAATGTACGTATATATACTTTTTATTACGGCTGACGGGGCATTTTTATAGAGGTATACTATACTATAGACATGCAGGCAAGTAAGCTAAACCTAGATTGTTGACCTCTGTTGAAATATTATAAGCGAATTGCCTAATAATTCTAAGAGAGTTTTTTATATATCAATATATTATAAACATATATCGCGATATTCAGAAATTCGTATACATTCATGTTTAATTAATAATAAACTGCTTTTACTCCAGCCCGCTAGCATTATGTTTATTCGGAAACCATCGGAATCGTATCAGATCTAATCAATGAAATTAGGAACGTGATCGTCTCCAGCTTTTAAACTGAAGTGGATGAATTCTTACTTGGACTTCTACACGTATTTCAAATTCGCTGATAACAACTGATTTGTTTAATGGACACAACGTCACACTGGGTATAAACAAAACTTAGATGGGATGACTGTGAGAGAGCGCCAATTCATCTCTGTATATCTAAATATATAAACAGTTTGAAAAGCCCTCAGCTGGCAATACACTTATACATACGTATGTGTTTTGAAACAGGTTTTCATTACATTAAATAAACGGGCAATGGGCTTACCTGCCGAAATCGTTGCGATCCGCTCCGGCGTGGTTAGGCGTTGAGAGCACCGAGTATACTGCAGCGGAGTGGGTAACATTGTTTGCTCCAGTCATAACGCTGGGTAAAAATACTCAAGAGTTATAGCGGGCTTCACTAATTAATTTACGATCAATATTCCGATGTTGAGATTAGATTACACAGCGTATGCTACATCAGATTCATTAGATTCCGTACTGGAACGGCTGTAGCAATGGGGTAGACAGACTTCTCAGTATCAGAACGAAATTAGAAAGCTTTGATTGCCAGCCAATTTGGAGCGTGAATTAATTGGTGCGCGCTCAAATACATATGTTTCTATACATATGTGTAAGTGATTGGCAGTCGAGAGCGTTCTTCTTCTGTATCCAGTTTCGCTATTGGGTATATTGTTGCTATTATTTGTTTTGCTGATTCCTTCAAATTCCTGTGATTGTTGTTGGGATTTGGAGACTGGAGCTGCAGTACATTGGAAGTTGTACAGTTATGCAACTTGTCATGCGTAAAAATTATACAAACTAAATAATTTTACGGATAGTGGCTACTTCGGAGGGACGCGTGTGGGCTAAAAGAGCTCCGTTGGCCATTAGAATTTATATTTTGATGTGCCCACCATAAATACAGAATTTGAAAAATGACAAAAGTGACGTACAAACAGCTGATCAAAATAAACCGTCGTTAAAGAAGCGAATGTAGCGCATTGTGCGTGACCGCAATTCAATGCTCAAGTGTATGACTATTAATATGACGTCACAATTGTATAATGTATGTGCCGTACTGTAACGACTGGCAAGTTGTTCAACATACTTGACGTACAGTCCTTATATTAATAAAACTGAATCAGTCCCATACATCAGATTTATAGAAATAAATTCTGCTCAACGGAACACACAGAATTTTAAAGTAGTGACGTCACTGAGTTACGTGGACAGTGTTACTTGTGCATGGTATAGCAACGCACATGTGAGAGCGGCACAGATAGAGAGCGCATATGTTACAGTGAATGTGAGTGAAAGAAGTAAAAAGAAAACGGTTGTTGTTTGTTTATGCAGTGTCTTTTTTATTGCTCAAATGGACTCGCAATCGATTGCAGTCGATATCCCCGGAACCCACTTAATGAAATGCTTATAAGCGAAACAATTGATAACTTGATGAAAATTGCATTGATAGCTTGAAGCTAAATCACTTGAAATGCATTACTGCTGGTGTATTATGTGAATATCATATAAATTAAATGGCAGCTCGTTGGGCGCACAGCTGCTGATACCATTTTTTGCTTTCGCGGCAGCGATTATTGGTGCACATTGGGCAACGCATTAAGAACTTGGGATTAACCGGCTGTTCAGACTTCAGATGATCAGCCACGATGCTGCTTAATGCATTTATAAACAGTGGATGATCATTGGGCGCAGCAGCGCGACGTATTTCCTCAACGCCCACCTCTTTAGCCAGTTCGTCACAGTATTCAATGTCCAGCTCGTGCAGCGTTTCTATGTGCTCGTTGACAAAGGCAATTGGCACAAGTATGAAGTTCTTGAGACCCTGTTTGACATATCCCTGAAATTAAGTTGGTATTAGCGCCTGCCACGGCAGTATAATGTCAACTTACGGCTTACCTTGATGGCATCATCTGTCGCTGGCGCCAGCCAGGGCAACGGTCCCACCTTTGACTGCCAGGCCAAGCTATAGGGATTGGTTTGACCTAACTCCTGCATTACCATGTGCACGCTAGCACCGATTTCAGAAGGGTACGGATCACCTCTATTCACTGCTTTCAGCGGCAGCGAGTGCGCCGTAAAGAGTATTACTACATCATTGCGTTTGGTCTCCACAAACTTCGCCAGCTCCTCGCGTATGCGTTGCGCAAAGGTCTTGATGAGCAACGGATGTGTGCCCCAGCGATCGATAATGCTCCATTTGATGTTAGCGGGCAGTGCGCTACGAATTGGAAATTGGATTAATATTCTATCTTTCCTATGATCCATGACCATTTACTTGTTTCGGTAGTGAGTGAAGATTGAGTTGAAGCTCGAGCCGGATGTGGCACAGCTGTATTGCGGATATTGTGAAAAGAGTACTAGACGTTCCGGCTTATCACTGTGCCAAAAGATAAAATAAAAAACATTAAAATTAAAATTCTAGAAACGTGTTTGATATTTGCTGCCTGAACTGACCTTTCAATTTGTGCAAGCGTGTTCTCTGTCAAGGGATTAACATAGCGGAAGCCCACGTAATGCTTGTGCGGTGCCGTAGATGGAGATAATTTATCCAGTTGCTCGCACATTAACTGGCCCTGTAGCTCCGTCCACTTCAATATGGGTGATCCGCCTCCAATTTCTTTGTATTTCTTTTGCACTTCTGGTGTGCGACGCTGCGCAATCCACGGACCGAGTCGGCTTTGTATTGGCAACTGTATCATATCGCGATCCGTCATGATGCGCAGCAGATAGTCGTGCACCTGATCCGTGTGCTGAGGTCCGCCCATGTTCAGCATGAGGATTGCAGTCTTTGGCTTCTGGCTGCTGAAGCGAACGTTGCTCGTGGCGCAATTCGCAACATTGCCTACAATTAGAATAGTCAAATTGATGATATGGAGAGGGCATTAAGCTACTTACTTGCCACCTTGCACAGACTCCTGTTATGCAAAAACATTGTATGCAACTAATTCGGGCAAACTGCAACCGGAATTATTTTTGCAAGTTTTTTTTGTAAAAAATGTATGCAAGAGTCTACGTCAAATATTTAAAATTGCAAAACAAATATTAAGTGTCTTGCTTTTATTTACCTTTAATTTATACAATACAATGAGTTTGCAATAAGAAACAATTTTTATTAAAATTGAAGTCCGTCCAGTTGGAAATTTTATTTAACAGTGACCACAACAATAACATATACTAAATCTTTATTAACAGAGAACTATGTAAATACTGCTTGGTCTAATTCTGTTAATTTGGTATTTTTTGTGAATGGTATGTGGAATAGTGTAATAGAGCTGCCAGATGGACGATATGCTTAACCGGTTACCGTTAATGCTTAAATGGTCTTTGATAAATAGCTGACTTGGTCGATAACAGTTCACATCTGATTCTCAAATTCATCCCCATTACCGGTTTTCGTCAAAAGATATCGCTGCTAAGAAACCAATCGAATAATGTAAAATAACAGCTGCCTGCTAAAATTTCTACAGTTGCTTTGAGTTAGTTCTCTGGAACCCTAGAGCAGCTGTTTCAATTCAAATTTCAAACTAGTTTGCCTATATCTGATAGTTTAAATATAAAAATTTAATTGTCTATCCTGATAATTTCCAATTCGAAGTACTATATATGGGTTTCCTGATAGTTCGAAGCAAATATGATTATAAAATACAAAAGCCAAGTTGTAAATAACAGTTTAGCAGAATGTTAATGGCGTAGATATAACGAACATAACATAAAACTAACTGTGGTAGCAAATTGTAACGAACGACAATCAGGGAATCAGTTGATTCGTTCAGTTTAGTGAGTCATTGCCGCTCATCAATCTATCAATCACTCATTCAAATTGTTGAAATCTAAGCAAAAATAAAACAAAAAAATTAAAAACAAACAAAAAATAAAAAAAAAATAAAAAAATGCCGAAAAACTAATGCGTGTGAAGTGATGCAAATAGCTTTATTAAAACAACAATCACAAGTGCTCTAAACAAAAAGCCGTCAGCCGCCCCCAAATAAAGCGAAAAAAGCCACACGAACTAAGCATGAGGGACTTTGAACGGTTACGACTCTGATGGTGGTGGATTGCTGTGGGGTGGGTGGCTAGTGTTATCGCCTTTGCTCGCTCTCGCCCACTAATAGCCAGCAGCGGCAACTTGCTCCAAATTTTTAGGGCATGCGCAATAGGAACCACTCGCTAAAGCACTCACTGGTTCGCTCATTGCCCAAACAGGATATTTTATTATACTGAAATTCAAACCCACACACACAACACTCACATTTGTATATATATACACGTATATGTATATATGCGTGCTGGGCTGCGCTCTTTTAACGTACGAGCACTGCAGGAAATTCGCATATTCAGGCCAAAAGCATTGTGCTCGTAGTAAAACGCGGCTCATAAGCAAAAGCTCCGCACTGCCATTCGGACGCATTCCGTTGCCTGCTCCCACTTACACATTATCACGCGCTCACACATAGAAAAAGAAACACACACACACACACACACTGATACACACGCGTAACCGTTCCTACATGCATTCACACATACACGCGCAAAAATCAATTGGACGCAGTTAAAGAAAAAATCGGTAAACTGAAAGGATTCTAAGGCAGAAACGCGTTATTCAGCGTTGTTTTCAAGGTCCTGGCTGTAAAATAATGTTTAAATTGACTGTGAAATGTGCAAAAGCGAAGAAAGCTCACAAGTTACGCAAAAAATGCAGCAGCATCGCAGCCGCAGCAGCAAAAGCAGCAACGAGCAAAATGTGAAACGGAAACGAGCGAACGAACAATGTTAAAAGTGCAAAGGATCGAAGGATGAGTCCGCGTGCCATTGACCACCGAACCAGCAATTTGTCATTAACGCCTACGCAAACATCAGCAACTGCCGCGGCATCATCAACTGCAACAGCAACAGCAACAGCAATTGCATTTGCATTTGCAACATAGCCGCAAAAGCCTCGCCAACTGCACCTGCATTTAACGCTGTCCCCGCCGGCAACCCCAAGCAGCGATCTTTGTTGTTGTTGTTGCTGCTGCTGCTGCTTGTGACTTCAGTTCTCATAAATTCTCTCTAAAACGCCTCGTAAGGCTTACGAAACGACAAACAGCATCCAGGCATCCGGGTATCCAGGCAACCGGTCATCCAAGCATCCACCAGGCCAGGCAACGCAGTTTAGGTGAGACGACCGACCACACGAATTTGAAACGTTTTATTGTAGAAATTCGCTAAGGATACAATCATCCAATAATTAGATTGCTTATGATTTTATAATATGGGTTAATTGGATTCAATTGTTAAGCTTTTCTTTTTAAATAAATAAAAAAAATTGTCAAAGTAGAAAACATATTGAAAACACATTTGATGATATTCATATACTTTGCTAATCTAAGAATTGGAAAACCTGTAAGCTCTTATGCTTCATCAGACTAAGATGGAATTTAGTTTTGCTGCACCTCATTTTCTCTTTGTACCTCTAACAACTTTTATCATAACTAGTATTTCAATCGAATTGACCGGGCTGTGTATATAAGAATCTCGGAAAACAATGGAAAAACTTTGTCCACGATATTAACAATCAGCAGAACGTTTTTAATTCTCCAGTGCTTTGCGCTCAGCCTCATTTGTGAGCCCGGCCAATGCCACCCAACTAGTTCCCTAGCAGCACATTGGAAAAGTTGAGAGCTTTGCTCCAATTTTACAAGAAAAGCGGAAAAATCATTTGAACAAAACAGCAAAAATTCTAAAAAAAAAAAAAACAAAAAAAAAACGGAAAACTTTAACGCTCACAGCACTAAATTCACAGTTATGATTTCAAATCTTTAACATTTGAAACAATATCAGCTCGGATAAAAATGTTTTCTTTGTAATCTGGCATGGAAAAGTTTTTGTCATATCTTAAGTTGAGGGGCAACATAACTTGAATGTTTACAAATATAAAAGAGCATTGAAACTGTTCGAATTATTAGAAATTCTTGAATTCCATTGTTATAACAGACATCAGATACTCAGATCGATATCTTTGACTTTAAGTAGCATTAAAAACTTTTCCTTTGACAGATGCGCAGCGCAGAGCACTGACTACAAACTGCTTATACTATAGATATATACTCGATGCAAGATATCCCATCCATTGATATTATTTTTAACAAATCCCCAACTCCATTCTAAATGTGAATTGTTCTTTAAATTACATTTAACATCAGCAATAGACATGTAATCTCTATTAATTTCCTTGTCTCTTTTTTCGGCTAGCCACTAGCCTCTCATTAGTTTACCTGTACCTGTACCTGTTTGCTTTGGCCAGACATGCCAGCCTCGTGGGATGCATTTAGTGCAGTAGACGCTGTATTAGTGAACAAATTGGTTGAAATTAGTTTAACCATTGGCCACGCTCCATTAACAACTGTCGGCCACCAATTAGGCTGGTTGCTGTGGTTGCGACTTTTTTTGTTGCTCGATGCACGTGCGACGACCAACTTCAAGGTGATAACTCCCAAAGGTACGCTGCGAGTCTAGACCCGCTGCCTGTAACCATGGTGCATGGTCGATGGCAATGTCAGTGTCGTCCCTTGGCGGCCTGGGAGCTGGGCGGTTGTTTGTCAGACTGCCTTTAGGCTGGTGCCACATGCAAGCTAATGCCTTGGCCCAGGAACAAAGCCATCAATATATTGAAGGATCTTTTCCAAAGCACCAACAACGAATTGCTTATCCGTCTGCAGCTGACAGGACTACTTCTCTCTTTCGTAATGCGTTCGGATCTAATAGAGCAACAAACAAGGATATCAATTGTTCACTTATTTCTCTGTCTGCAAGACAAAACAATTTGATTGATTGTTCTCTTTTTTTAAATATCTACTATATAATCCTACAGTGTAGATATACAAAGAATCGTTTTAGTGGAAGGTAGCTGAGTGTTTGGCACTTCACCGCTGTCCTTTACCTCTGCTGAGAAAATGCAGCCATGAGATCGTGCTCATCGGTAATCTTTCTGTCAAACAGAGATATAATCTATATACCAAGTTACTACTAACTGACTTCGACCCACTTTACTTCCAGAATTATCTACACATTTTTTATATATTTTTAAAAATTGACTCCGTTTCCTTATGCATCGGAAAGTAACAAAAACCAATCAATTATTACAATTTTATGCCTATCTAAATGGAAGAAGAGCTCAATGTCTAAGAGCTTTCAATGTTTGGTCAGAGCAAATATTGCTATTGATTCGTTGCTGAATTTTATTATATTTTTGTTACGGTCCACGTGGGCGGAACTTTATCAAGCACCCACCCACTCACTTATTCCAGTGTAACTTGGGCGAAATTCATGATGTCATTAAGAGTGCGTATACAGAACGGGTCTACCAAAAGAGTTGCAGTAATAAATGTTTCTATTGTGACAGTTGTAGCTGTTGCTGTTGTTGAGGATGTTGTGGTTGTTGTGGTTGTTGTTGTTGCAAATGTTGTAGGTTCCATCAACACCCGAAGACATTTTTCTTGGCTGATTGCTGCATTTTGTCGTCATGTTGTTGCTGCTTTGACACAAAGTATCGTGTAGCTCCATTTGCATGTCAGTGCCGTGGCTATTATTCTCACACACACACGCACACACTTGCAGCCACGCACACGAGAGTAGACACAGTCAGTTCTTGTCTAGAAATTATGAACAAAAATGTTGCATACCAACGGGCGCAGCTGAAAGTCATTGAATGGTGCCTGGCTGGCATTGTTGCAACGGAAGCTGCTCAGCAGTCAGTTGTCATAGCACAGCTGGACTCATACCCACACACACACACACACACACTCACACACATAGACAGATATGGCCTTAGGTATGGCATACGAGCAGCATATTTAAATGTCCTCTGCACTATTGCAACATTTTTCATTGCAAACTGCAAACGGGGAATGGGAAAATGGTGGATTAAGGACGTACTCTCTGTGCAAACTGTTTTATGGCAACAAAATCTCAGTTGGAGTCGTAGGCTAAGTGCCAGCCACATAGCTCCATTGGCCCAGTTCGTACGACGTGTCCGCCTCGACGACGACGTTGGCAGACGA